TGCTGAACACTGCGTCTTTAGAATAAAATGCAAGCAGCTCTGAGCTGCGGGACATCACCAAACCTGCTGACTGACAGAGAGCCTGTCTCACAACACTAGCCCAATGTACTTGGTGGTAACCTCTGTGCAAGCCTGGTGAAATTTAGCTTTTTCTAGCTTCCCTGCCAAGTGGCTGAGTTCTTTGACAAAGAGTTCACTTATGTCAGCTGTCCCTTGCAGTTTCAGTCGATTGGTTTGCAAGCAGAGCATGAGGATTTCTGGCTGGCTCTGGTTTGGACATACAGGCTGAGCATCATCCTTGCACAGTCCAGAAAACTGGACAGAGAGCTGTCACAGAAGGCAAGATGGTATCTCATGATCCTCCCCCCAGCATGTACATTTGATGCCAGAATTTGACCTGTAGCATCTTTCTAAAATAACATCACCAGTGGTGATAAGTCTCTGCTCATACATTACCTGCTCTCGCCTCCCCAGTGAAACTGCTAGGCAAACATTCCAGTTCTTTTGTTTTATTTTTGTAGTATAGTTACCTGCATTATGACCTTGTAATATTTATACAATACATATAAAATATTTAGGCTTATTTGTGTTCTTTGTGAATTACAATGGCGTGCTTTCTGTCAGCCCAGCTGGTTCTCCAAAACATCATGACAATACATTTCTTACGGCTGAACCCTTACGTGTAAATTCTTGGCTGAGCTAAGTTGACTTCAGTGGAGCTATGCTGCTTACCCTGCTGAGGATCTGGTCTTTAAAATGGAATAAGACACAATGGACTGATTTAGTTTATCTTGCAGAAACATTTCTTTAAACGGTAGGTTTACTTCTGCAGCAATTTTATCAGATTTCTATCTCACTTTTAAATCCCATTCATGCTCTGAAATAGGACTCACGTGAGACTGAAGGAGCTTGCGGCTCTTGTTTGTACAGAGATGACTTTCACTCAGTATGAAAAAGGAGGAGTTGTGAGTCAAAAGTGGATGTTTAACGTGCAGCAAGGACACGTGCCTGTGAGATTACATGATCTCTTGGGGAGCCTTGTTTGTGCAAAAGGACTGATCACAGCTCAATTTTGCCGGTTTTTTTTTTGCGGTAAACATTTTGCATTATATGGTTGTCTGCATGGCATCAGAGTTGTAAGCTGGCTACAGCTGCCTGGCCGCTCCCTCTTCCCCCAGCACTCTCATGGAAAAAGAGATTTATCTCACAAGGCTACTCTAGGGACCAAAGCTTTCAGAAAAGGCATTACTATGTGACCTTTTTTCTTGGTAAGTAAGGAGTGGTGATTACTAAGAAAGCACAAACAGTTCTGAAAGGAGACTTTATGTTCTATTTTCATGTATGTTTATGTAAGTGTTCTTATTTATCACTTGTATGTCCATGTATTGCCCTTAGCTTAGGGACAGAAGCTACACTTTGAACCCAAACCCTTTGATATCTGCACTAGTAGATGGCTGTAGCCTGGGGTGAGTTCAGACACAGCAGGGACTAACTTCTTAGAGCTCTGCCCCAACAGACGGTAGGATAGCAACTGCTTCAGGGCAGCTGGTTCTGGGAACATGAACCCAAGTTTGAGCACAGCTACCAAAGGCAGCCTAGATACAGCACGATCCTGTCCCACACATGGATCTGGGACCTAAATACTAGGTGAATGGAAATAGAGGGTTACTATTCTAGGGCAATGAGGGGGAGTTTCAAAAGTGCCCACAACTTGACCTTAGTATCTCTTAGGCATTTAGCTGCTGCTGCTTCCAGTGGGACACAATACCTCAAGGAAACGTGCTGATCTGGACTATCAATGGGATTAAAGCACCTAAATCGCCCACCTGTTTTTTAGAATGGAAACAATCTGTATTAATTCCAGCTTAGCACCTAACTTTTGTGCTACTGAAATCAACGCTGAGTAATCCATTGAATTCTATGGTGTGGAATCAAACCAGTAAATTGGAGAATTCCTCCGTCAGGAAATCATATGTGGCCAGAAGTGAAAAGAGCAGAGAATACTACATTGATGTTTTCAGGGCCCAGATGATTTCCAGTGTTTGTTTTGGATATGGGTATCCATATGTGAGAGAGTGCTTCCAGCTATATTGTGTTTTCCTGCATCTGTCTCCGTGTGGCACTGGTGCACTTTCAGAAATTCTTCAAGATGAACTGAACATGTGGGATTTTGATGGATTCAACTGCTGTGCAGACATTTATATACTATTGTCATTCCATTTGACTCAGTGCATTCCAAAAACTTTGCAAAAGTGCTGAATAGTCCTGACACCATTTATACAATATGCACACTCATATTTCTATTATACACAGCCAAACCAATTATAATCTTCTGCTACTGTTGTTTTTTTGACTGCATTAAGTAAAAGCCTGCCTTACAAATTGTTTCATGACTTTTGCAGCTTGCAAGAAGCAAATTCTTCATCCAGAAAGCTGAGAAGTAACAATAGCATCTCCTACCACAGACATGCATGTGTGAGGTAGTCTATATTATCTTCTCCTGTATGAGTCAAAGGGAAACCTGTTTTTTTTCAACATTTTTAGAATATGCAGAAAATCTAGCCTGTCTGCCACATTGACATCTTCATATATTTTATATATTTTATTATTGTCACTCTGGGTGCCCCTTTCTGCCGAAGTATATAGGCAGGAAGGGGCACCCAGAGTGACAATCATCTCTTTTGCAAAGAACTAGCACAAGACATGCACTGTCTGAGCTGTCAGAAGAGGTCTTAAGTGGCCGTCGAACACTGGCCTGTAATGGCTTTCTTCATAGAGTTCAATTTAACCCCAAACTATAACTGTTGAGTATTTAGTTTCAACAGACCTCCACCCAAATAGGAGAGGATTCAGAGAGTAACTGGAGTTCTGCTGATATCCTGCCTTCTAATACTAAATATTTTTTATCTTTGGTGAAGAGTTTAATATGCTGGACTCCTGGTGT